TTGACTCAAGATACAATCTAATCCTTTAGATTGAGTCCTGCCTCATTAACATAACTGCCTCTAATCCTGCCTCATTAACATCATAGAGGTAGGATTTACAACACATAGAAAAATCACATCAGATCACAAAATGGTGGACAACACAGTATTGGGAATCATGGCCTAGCCAAGCTGACACACATTTTGGGGGACATAATTCAATCCATGACACAAACCTTTCTTCCTAGTCCATTTTAGTCTGGAAGCTCCACTGAAACCTGTTCAGCATCATAGCAACACGAAAGCCTCCACTGACAGACTGGTGGCGGCTGTGAATGAGGTGCACTGGCAGGGAATTGTACCCGGGTCTCCTGTAGGGAAAGTGAGAATTCTACCACTGAACCACGAATGTCCTCCATTTTCTGTTACAGGACCTAAAATAAGAATACTTTTTTTATTAAATTGAGCAATGTTATTTGTGGTAGCCAGCCTGTAAGATGGCCCCAATGATCCAACCTCCAGGTAGTCAAAGCTTTGTGTAGTGCTCTTCCATGATGCTTATTGATTGTGAGGATTTTTGTTTTCTTTATATTGAGGTGTAATCCATAGTGAAAGCTGTAGTCTTTAGTCTTCATCAGTAAGTGCTTCAAGTCCTCTTCACTTTCAGTATGCAACATCATGATAAATGGAGAAAATATTGACATTGTCAAGGATTTCATTTTACTTGGATCCACAATCAACGCCCATGGAAGAAGCAGTCAAGAAATCAAACGATGCACTGTATCAGACAAATCTGCTGCAAAAAATTTCTTTAAAGGGTTAAAAAGCACAGATGACACTTTGAGGACTAAGGTACGCCTCAACCAAGCCATGGTATTTTCTAACGCATCATATGCATGTGAAACCTGGACAACGAATAAGGAAGACCAAAGAAGAATTGATGCATTTGAGTTATGATGTTGGCTAAGAATACTGAATATACCACAGACTGCCAGAAGAACAAACAAATCTGTCCTGCCAGAAGTACAGCCAGAATGCTCCTCAGAAGTGAGGATGGTGAGACTTTGTCCTACATACTTTGGACGTGCTATCAGGAGGGACCAGCTCCTGGGGAAAGACATCATGCTTGGTAAAGTAGAGGGTCAGCAAAAAAAAAGAAGACCTTCAATAAGATGGACTGATACAGTGGCTACAACAATGGGCTCAAACATATCAATGATTGTGAAGATGGCACAGGACCCGGCAGTGTTTTATTCTGTTGTACATTGGGTGCTATGACTTGGAACCGACTCGACAGTACCTAACAACAACAAAATCTTCCACATTGTTTCGAGGTGGTCTGTGTGACCAATAGAATATGGCAGAAGCAATGCTATGTCACTTCCAAGATTAGGTTATAAAAAACACTGTGGCTTCTGTCTTAGTCACTCTCTCTTCTTTTGTATCACTTGTTCTAGGGAAAGTAAGCTGCAATGTCATGAGCTACTCTATGGACATGCCTGCATAGGGAACTGAAACTTCCTACAATTGGCCACATGAGCAAGCTTGTAAACAGATCCTTCTACCAAGTCAAGCTTTCAGATGTTCATCCACCATTTTAACTGCAACCTTATGAAAGATCTAAGCCAGAACCACTCATCTGTGCTGCCTGATTCCTGCCCCTCAGAAACTGTAAGATAATAAATGTTTATTGTTTTAAGCTGCTTAATTTTGTGGTAATTGTTTACATAGCAATAGATAACTCATACAGTAGTTGTCTCAAACTTTTACACATTTGATTTTAAAGGCTGTCTAGCCTAATGCATTCCCCATCAATATTTCATTGCAGAATATCAAAGAAGTTGAAAGTGGCTTCAGTTGGAATTTTGGGACTATTCTCAATTCTGTATTTGAAACTGAAGGTCTAAAATCATGATGGCTTCTAAACGAATAATTTATTTTATAAGGATCAGCATAAAGGTAGTTCCTATGAGGCGGAGGTTAAAGATGACCCAAATGTCTAACTTTTTCAAGCTGCTGTACCACTCCATCATCTCTAACATCAAGTACTTCCTTTCCCCTCAGTACTCTCCCTCCTGTTCCCTAATTCGCTGCAACATCTCACAGAACTCATGAACCATATAAACGAAATAGCTCACGCAGTTATGGAGGCTGGCAAGTCCTAAATTAGTGGATCAGGTGTAGACTTCTCTCCCTGGCCCTCAGTCTCTGCCCAAAGGCCCTCAGCTTTCTCACTCAGTGGGCTGGGAATCCCACTGCGCTGTCTCTGCTTTAGGTCTCTCCTTTGGTGGTGGTGGGCTCTCCTCTCTGCTCTGGAATTGGCTCTCTTTTAAGGCAAAACTGACGAATCCCCTCGATGGGCCACAATTCTTATTTGCATAGCCCCACCCAATCACCTGGGTGGGAGTCACAAGACCATGGCTAGAAAGGCCACACACAAAAGTAATTAATCGCACTGCAGCTTCAGATTAAGCAATTCACAGCCTGTTACCCTGGATTTCCTTAGTAGTTACCAGAGCCACAGGATTAACATGCAGTCCTTTTGTCTAGGACTTTCCCCTAGTAGATATGTAGGATTATGGATTTCTCTGCTGACCTAGTGACTAGTACCGAGATGTCCAGTAACACACAGATTTTTCACTGCTTACAATAATACTAGGAGCCCCTGGGTGGCACAAATGGTTAAGTGCTCTACTACTAGCTGAAAAGTTGGGCATTCAAACTCACCTAGAGGTGCCTCAGAAAACAGGCCTAGTGATCAGCTTCTGAAAGGTGACAGCCTTGAAAACACTATGGAGCAGTTCTACTCTGCTCACATAGGGTCGCCATGAGTCAGAATCAACTCGACGATGACTAAATAACAACAACAACATAATACTAATGATAGCCAATGTTTACTGAGTATTTTTTTTGTGTCAAGGAGCCCTAGTGGAGCAAGGGTTAAGCACTCAGCTGCTAAGAGAAAGGTTGGCCGTTCAAACCCAACCAGCAGCTCCACAGGAGAAGGACCTGGCCGTTCAAACCCAACCAGCAGCTCCACAGGAGAAGGACCTGGCGATCTGCTTCCATAAAAATAAGAGCCAAGAAAACCCCACTGGGCAGTCCTACTCTGTCACATGTGGTTGCTATGAGTAGGAATTGACTCGACAGCACCCAGAAACAATAACTATGTGCCAAGTGCTGTTCTAAGTAGTTTACATATATTTACTAGTTTATTTTTATTCCCATTTTATAGATGACAGAACTGAGGCACAAAAAGTTTAAACAATTTGCTCAAGGTCTGACAATCATTAAGTGTCAGAAGCTGGGATCTGAACCTAAGTAATCTGGCCGACTTTTAACCACTGTTAAAATTCTTGTGAGGCCGAAGTTCCAAAAACTGTAGAGGTTAAAACAAGAGGTTTTAGCCTATCCTAGAAAGGCCAACTAATGTCCACCAAGTGGAGGGCAAAAGTCTCAGTGGCAAGTTAAATGTATCTTTCTCCTGATAAAGTTCTCCCAACCCTGGAGGCTGAATTTGCCAGGAAATTACAAAACGTTGTTGTGGGGTTAAAACTCCCCCTGCCCCCTATGAGCTTTGTTCAGAATGTCCATTTGTGACTTGTTTCTCTATTGCCTAGCCAGGCAACATAACACAAAAAAACTCTCCTAAAAGTTCTGTCAGCCTTTTTAGTTTTTGTCATCTTTTCAGTCACACCAGGACTCCAAAAGTCCTCTTAACTGAAAAGGGGTTCCGGCCTTCTGACAAGATGCTCATGTGTTACACTTTATATCTGGATTAAAGTAGTCAGCAAGAGCTGGCCTCAGAGGAATTGCTTCCTCCAGAGCAGAGACAGTGTGAGATTTAAAAATACAGGCGTTAGCATCTGGCAGACCTTCTTCCTTTGAGTCTCAGCTGCTACTTGACACAGAGGAAGTAACTCGACATTTCCGAGTCTTTCATAGGGAATGACAGGACCTGAGCTGATGCCCAGGAAGGGCCTAGAATGTAGAAGGTACTCAATAAACGCTCGGTGGTGTTATTTCAGTTATGGATCCATGCACAACAAAATTATGCACCACAAACACTTACTATTGAGCAAACATCAATTATTAAAAACCTGTGTTCACATTCTGGCAAAGATGCATAACACGGGTTAAGGACCACAGATAGGTGACACACACTAAAGTAAGCTTACCTTTTAAGGTAAATGTGTAGAGTGCTGGCATCAGCCATAAGGTGACCCCACTAGTAGCGTCTTGGTGTTCTGAGATGTGGTACACCCTTTTTTTAAATACAGATTATTGCACAGTAGTAACAAACTTCTACATATTTAGTGCTTTTTCTTAAATATAATTATGTAAACTACAGAACAAAAATATCCCTGGTGTGTGTGTGTACACGCGCAACCTAAGTCGAGAGGCATCCGCACCGTCGCAATATCGGACAGGTTTGGTGGCTTTCCCTAGCCAGCCTCCCTGACAAAAGAACAATTCGTGGTGGTAGGGACCCATCCTCTCCCCCATCCAGCCACCCCGCACCCCGCGCGCGCAGTGGTTGGAACCCACCAGCCGCTCTGCGGGATAAAGATGTGGCAGTCTGGTTCCGTAAAGATACTCAGCCTTGGAAACACTATGGGGCAATTCTACTCTGTTTTATAGGGTCTCTATGAGTCAGAAGCGAGGGCATTAGGCTTTTTTTTTTTTCTCTTTTAGGGACCTATCTAGTCTCCTGTAGCGTCGCTATGAGTCTTAAACCACTCGATAGCTACTAGTTTATCTAGTCTCCGCTCCGCCCCGGCCTAGTAGAGTCAGCACAGTACGCCTCTGCGCCCCGCCCCAGGTCCCGCTTTCAAGATGCCCCGCCTACCCCCGAGCCCCGCCCCAAACAGAGCGGCCTGCATTTCCCGTGAGCCTCTCCGTCTGCCATTCTTCGGAGGGGAAGTGTAATCTGTCCGCACTGAAGCGGCAGTTAAAATACAAATCGCCTTGGCCTGCGGCCGTTGAGTCCGGATCGGAGGCGGGATTTCCGCGCCCTCGGGCGTCACGTCAGTCGGGAGGCGGAAGCGCAGCGTGAGCGGGAGGGATGTAGTGCAGTCCTGTGGGTCTCGCTTGCGGGTCTCTAAGTAGTTGAGCTTCTCTGAAAGCAGCGATCCGACAGCAAGGCCGTCCCAGGCGCCTTAGCATCCCCGGTAAGTAGGACAGTCTGTCCGGCCGCGTCGCCAGGCGTTGGAGGTGTGTGGCCGGGTTGATACGTCCCTGCCGTCTCTTTCCGCAGAGCAGCGGTCTCTCAGCTGGCCTGGCCTCCAGACGCTTCTCACCCCGCCTCCCCTTCTTCGTATGGGCTGCAGTCCCGGCCGAGCCTTCGCCTTCTGCCCGCCCTCCACGCCCTCTGGCAGAGACCCTTTTGAAACGCCGCGCCAGTCCAGCCCTGTCACATACTCGCTTAACGTGCCCCATCATAAGGTGGCCCTGTTGTTCCTCTTGTTTAGCCGGGTCTCGCTAGCCTTGTGCTCTAGCCGCAGGAGACACAACGATTCATTTATTCAAAACAAGCACCTCTTTTCCAGCCCTTGTACCTTTGCCTGGGTTCCCCTGAAGGCAGCCTTAATCTCTCCAATAGAATCAGCTCCTTTCTGCTTTCAGAGCATGTTTTTTAAATTATATTTTTAGTATGGCTGCTTGAAAAAGACTTTATTTTCCCACTGGATTATATGTTCCTTGAAGGCAGGGATAGCGTCTTGGTCTTTTGATCTCACCAAGGCGTATTACAAAGGCACAGAAACCGACAGCCCGAAGTATACATTCTAGTTTTGTGACTTTGGGTACGGTGTCCCATCTATAAAATATAATAAGTGAAATAACTAATTTCAAGCATCTTACACAGTGTATGGTGCATAACCAAATCAAACCCCTTACTGTCGAGTCGATTCCGACTCATAGCGACCCTATAGAACAGAGTAGAACTGCCCCATAGGGTTTCCAAGGAGCGGTTGGTGGATTCTCTGTGACCTATGGTCAGCAGCCCATCTTTTGATTAGCATCTGAGCTCTTAACCACTACCCACCAGGGCTCCTTATGGTGCATAGTACATACATAATAGTATATGTTTTTAAATGAATGAAGAGGCACCATCCATGTGTGATTTTTCTTCATAGCACTGTGATCCTATTGATGCTATGAATTGGTTGATACATTTGGTAGTACTTCATAAATACAACCTAATGATGTATATTAATGATGGAGGAGTGCTGAATGTTGATATCAACATCTGCAAGAATAAACATGCTCTGTTTAATTACATTCTTAATGCTGTATTTAATTAAATGCTTGAAAAGTGCTTGCAGAGTTTAATTTTGTGATTTGTCTGTGTGCCTTTTCAAATGTACATCTTTCTGAAAAGATTAAGAAACTGCAAACGTTTCAATGTAGGGAGGCTAGCTGTTCCTAACAACTTTTAGTTTGCTAGTAAAGTATGGTGCATTTTATTTGTGTGTACACATATTTTTACAGCTGATTGTAAAGTGTTGACCAGTTGCTACTGAACATATCTGAAGCAGAAAATAGGAAGATGGCAGCAAATGCTTCAGGACAAGGTAATGCATGTGGGAATTTCTTTTATGTCTAGGATTTTTTTCCATCATACATTTAAACGTATTTGAATAAGAGAAAGTTTAGCACAGGGCAATTACTGTAGCCAGAATAAAAAATGTGTAGCAGAGTAACACCGCACTCTGAGTCAGGTCCAACATTATATCATGTCTTAGTCTCCTAGCACTACCATAACAAAATTCACATGTGAGTGGCTTTAAAGAACAGAAATTTGTTGTCTCACAGTTCGAGAGGCTAGACGTTCAAATCAGAATGTTGGCTGCATTGATTCCTTCTGAGGGCTTTTAGAGAGGAACTGGTCCATGTCTTTCTCCTGGTTTCTGATGGCTGCTGGCAGTCCTTGTTGTTCCTTTGTTGCTTGTAGCTGTATCTTCACATGGTGTCTTTCCCCTGTGTTTGACTCTTGTCTCCCTTTCTATTCAGAATTAATTCGGACTCACCCTCCTCAGGTATGACCTCATTAACTGATGACAAAAGAAAATTTCTATTTTCAAACAAGGTCACCTTCACAGGTACAGGGCTTAGGACTTCAACATATCTTTCTGGGAGAACAATTCAATCCATAAAATATCAGATATACAACATCCTCAATAGTTATTAATCTTATGTTTTAATCTGTGCTCAGATTATTCACTTTGTAAACCTTAGGTCCTCCTTTGACACCTGTGTTCTCTCGATATTTTACTTGATATCAAAAACACTTAGTTAAAAAGTTACACGGTTATCAGGCAATATATGTGGTTTTATCTTCATGTGATCTAAAAACTTTCATACATATTTCACCTGTGTTAAGAGCTCTAAAGCAAATCAGGTTAGACACATTCTCTCTTTATAAAAGTAAAATTTAATCTCTAGAAAGTATTAAATCCCACTTTGTATGTAATTTTCTCATTAAAGACTTGAAGCAAGCCTCTATTTCCATATCAAGTTTAACTCCTATTTTAACCATATGTATGCTTGATTCATCAACATATTTTTATTACTTATCTCTGCTCTAAAGAAGTTTGTTTCCTTACTAGTCTGTTATAATAATGCTCATTCCCACTTGCATGTATTTGATCATCACGTATATCTTCCTTTTATCTGAAATGCTTTACTTTCTATTTTTCAAGACCCTCTTCAAATACCAGTTCCTTCATGAAACGTTTTCTTACTCTTTGTGCTTATGATTCCCTTCTCCAAATGTTTATAGTAATTTAAATCTGTGCTATACAGTTTAACATTTACAAATTATTATCTTGAAATTTTTGTTATTTTTTTCATCCTTTTATCACCCAACTCAAATATCTCTACCTTTGTGAAATGAGGCTAACTTAATATTCCTTCATATTACATATATTTTTAAAATTTTTTTCAAAATTATCTTGACTATTCTTTTAGATTGACATGTTCAGATAAAGATTTAGATCTTTTATATTGAGTTATTTATTAGTAATTCTTCTATCCTTTCTATCTATCTTAAAGAAAATAAACTACTAGATTTGAAGGATGAAGGAGAAACAGATATAAAGTTAAATTTGTTCCTGGTACCTTTAATGTGATTTTTAAACTTTGTGTAAAAATGGTGCGGCATGGGGCGTCTGACCACCTCTAACTTCACAGGGGGAAGGAGAATCAAGATCAGCAGCCCAAGACTGATTCTTGAGGCAGAGAGGTTAGACAAATCTTCTCTCTCCGATCTTTATACCAATTCTGACACCAACCATCCCACCCCTTGACAATCAGAACTGTGCAGAAGAGACTCAGGCAGCTGGGAAGCTTAGTGGACCACCCCCTTTCTACCCTAGCACAAATGATAGATCCTAAAAAATACTCTAGTAAATATAGGATATTCCTGTTTTTTGTTGTTTTGTAAGTGAAGATAGCTTGTTGTAAAGGCATGTAACGAAGGATGCTGAGTTATGGAGACAAGGGCAAAGAACACAAAGATGGGGAGAACATCTCTATATGTCCATTCTGAGCCTCGAGCAAGAAGGTGGGGGATGAGTAGACATCATGCATAGTATTGTATTTCTGTAGTATTCTTCACTGGCTTGCTGTGTTCAGCCTCTGTAATTTCGCGACTCAAGACATTAAAGTGCGGGGAAAATTTGCAAATGAACCAATAAGCCTTCCTTATATGATAACATTCCCCTATTCTTGAATGGCATATGAGGTAAGTCACCTTATAGAAGGGTGTATTTTAGAAGAACAGATCATACTTTTCAAAAAGTGTATAGAGACAATTTAGGCAGATTGTTAATAAGCTAATTAAAATTTGTTAACATCTCTTGTAGCGTGCCAAGGGTTAACAATAAAACACTAATTGCTCTTTGCTTTGAAACAAATGTGGTATTTATTGACTGTAGTAATATCATACTGAAGCAGTGGTTGAGTACTGATGGGTTTGGAAATAAATGGTGCATGCTAAATGCCAACCCGAGGAGTAGCAAGCATGCTTTTAATATGCTTTTAGATTGTACAACTGCAGGAATTAGCTTTTCCTTGGCAGTCATTAAATAAATGAAAACACTGCTGATTCTGTTTTTTTTTCTCCTAACCTTTATTATGGAAACTTGAAAAAATATGAAAATAAACAGAATAGTGTACTGTATTTTTATACAAATAACGCATGCCTTCTATGTTTGTCTTCCAACCGCACCCTTCCCCATGAGGTATTTTCATAAACTCTATGCTAATTTTTTATAGCAACACTTTAAAAAAAAATTAGCTTAGCAGCACTTAAGAAAATACCTCACAGAGGGGAGAGAACAGTGGGAAAATAAACGTAGAAGACGTGTGTTATTTGCGTAAAAATGCAGTAATGAACTTTGATGTACCTTTCACTAAACTGCAATGGTTATTAACATTCTGCCATTTTTGTTTCTTCTATACTTTCACCTACTCCTCCCCACTCGATAATGATTTTTTTTTTTAGAACTTCGTATAAATGGAATCATTAAGTGTGTCACTTGTTTGTGTTCAGCTTCTTTCACTCACTATAATGCCTTTTAAGATTTATCATCCATGTTGTGACATGTATCAGTGGTGTATTCTTTTTTACTGTGGAGTTGTATTCCATTGTATGACTTTACCACAGTTTGTTTATTCATTCTCCTGTTTGTAGATTTTGAGACTGTCTCTAGTTTTGGTTGTTGCAAATAAAGCTGCTATGAACATTTGTTTAAAAGTCTTGTTGTAGACATATTTTTTATTTCTCTTTGTAGGTATGTAGCACCTGAGTGTGTGGTTAACTTTATGAGAAACTGCCACACCTTTTTCCATAGTAGATGTACTATTTTACATTCCCTCCAGCAATGTGTGAGAGTTCTAGTTGTTCCGCATTTAGTGTTATCAGTCTTTTTAATTTTAGCTGTTCTAGTGGGTGTGAAGTGACATCTCACTGTAGTATTAACTTGCATTTCTCTGATGACTAATGCTGAGCACTTTTTTATGTAAGTTAATGGCCATTGTAAATTTTCCTTTGTGAAGTGTTTGTCCAAGTCTTTTGCTAATGTAAAAAAAATTGGGTCATCTTTAATATTGAGCTGTGAGAGTTCTAAAAAGAGTCTGGATCCAAGTCCTTTGTCAGATAAATGTTTTGCAAATATTTTCTCCCAGTCGCCTTGTCTTTTCATTTTCTTAATGGTGTTGTTATCCTGTGTGTAATATGTAATTTTTCTCTGGCTCCTTTCAAGATTTTCTTTGTCTTTGTATTTTAGCAGTTTCACTGTGATATGCCTAGGCGTGGTTTTCTTGCTTGGGGTTTGTTTGATCTTTTTGGATCTGTAAGTTGATGCCTTTCACCAGATTTGGAAAGTTTTTGTCTTATTATTCCTCAAATATTTTTTGACCCCATCCTTCCTTTTCTTCTGGGACTGCAGTTACACATATATTAGGTCACTCGTTATTGGCCTTCATGTCTCTAAGGCTTTGTTCAGTTTTGTCAATATTTTTTAGCCTTGTTCTTCAGATTGGATAATTTCTAATGCTCTAACTTCAAGTTTATTGACTCTTCTGCTGTCTCTAATATACTGTTAATTCTATCCAGTGAGTGTTTTATTTCAGTTATTGTACTTTCTTTTTTTTAGCTCTAGGGTTTCCATATGGTTCTTTTCTGTAGTTCTATTTCTCTGCTGAAATGCCCCATTTATTTATTCATTATGTGTCTATTTTCCTTAAGTACTTGAACATATTTATAATAACTGATTTAAGTCCTTGTCAGCTAATTGCATCATCTAGGTCATCTTGGGATCTGTATCTGTTGACTGCCATTTTTGTTGAGTATGGTTCACATTTTCCTTTTTCTTAATATGCTTAGTAAATTGTTTTTAATTGGATGCTGGACATTGTGAGTAATACTTTGTAGAGACACTGGATTCTGTTGTATTTCTCTGAAGTTTGATTTTTGTTCTAGCAGACAGCTTGTTGTCATCAAGTGACATCGAGTTGATTCCAACTCACAGTGCCCAGCGTACAACAGAACGAAATACTGCCCAGTCCTGCACCATCCTCACAATCATGGCTATATTTGAGCCCATTGTTGCAGCCACTGTGTCAATCCATCTCATTGAGGGTCCTCCTCTTTGCTGACCCTCTACTTTACCAAGCGTGAAGTCCTTCTTCAGGGACTGTTCTCTCCTGATAACATGTCCAAAGTACATGAGACGAAGTCTCTCCATCCTCGCTTCCAAGGAGCAGTCTGGCTGTACTTCCAAGACAGATTTGTTTGTTTTTCTGGTAGTCCATGGTATATTCAGTATTCTTTGCCAACACCATAATTCAAAGGCATCAATTCTTCTTCGGTCGTCCTTCTTCATTGTCCAGCTTTCGCATGCATACAGGACGATTGAAAATACCATGGCTTGAGTGAGGCGCACCTTAGTCCTCAAAGTGACATATTTATTTATTTTTAACCCTTTAAAGAGGTCTACTGCAGTATATTTGCCCAATGCAATTCGTCGTTTGATTTCTTGACTGCTTTTTCAAGAGCATTGATTATGGA